GGCTTTTCAAGATGCTGAGGCAAGAGGACAGTTTGAGTCCAGTAGGCCGAGACTGAAATGAGCTATGATTATACCACTGCATTTCAGCCTGGGTGACAGAGTGTGACCCTGTCTCTAGAAGAGAGGGAGAAAAAGGAGGGAGGGATAAGAGAGAAAGGGGTTGGGGATGAAAACAGCAATTTAAACCAGCAATTTTAGGTGGCTGTAAATTTATTATGGATTATCACTGTAAAGCAAATAACATTTATTTACATTTTTTTGCTAAGGAATTTAGGCAAGCAAATAACATTTATTTGCTTTACAGTTATTCTAATCTGCATTAAGTTTTGCTATTCTTTTAATATGTCCATTTCAAAACTCAGGTGTTAAAACTTAGTGGCCAAGGAGGTGGGGCCTTTAAGATGTGATTAGGTCATGAGGGGTCGTCTCTCATGAGTGGGATTTGGAAGCTTCAGGCAGCAGCAGTGTTGGGCTTGCTTGCCTTGTGCCTCTGCAATGTGAGAACACATCGCTTCTCCCCTCCAGAGGATGCAGCAACAAGGCGCCATCTTGTAATCATAGAGCAGTCTTCAGCAGACAACTGAAGGTGCTGTCCTCTTGACCTTGCACTTCTCAATTTCGAAAACTGTGAGAAATAAATGTATTTTCTTTAAAAATTACCCAGTCTACAATATTTTGTTATAGCAGCACAAGTAGAGTAAGACAAAGACAGAGTCTCACATTAATTTGTGGTAAATTAGAGTACAATTCCACAAGAATTCAAATTGTAATAACATGTCATTAGCACACTAGTCCGGTTCTCAAGAGATCAGGCTAATGCTCTTATCTTGGAGAAATATTGAGAGAAACACAGGATGAGAAAACAATACCAGGACATTTGTTTATGAGAACCTCATCTTGCCTGATCATAAGGCAGTAGGTTGCCCCCAGATTCCTGAGAGGTACATTTTGAAGTGAGAAGACTATTGATTTTGTTGTTTCAATGCAATCTCTCTGGAAACTTACAATTGGCTCCAAATAACTGTAAATGTCCTGGGTCATTCCCTGTTGGTGTCCTGGAAACTTCACCTAGCCACAGTAATCAGAATCATTTGGATCTCCCAGTGGGACTTCTGGAACACTTTGGACTGCCTGAGTTGTCTCTAGTTATGTTTTTATTCTCAATAAGTCACAAAGAGTAATTCTAAGGAAATTTCTTTTTTTTTGGATCTCACTTATTTAAATAGGGCCCAATACATTAAGAAGAAAGCTGAGAGGTAAGACACTATTTAGAACAGTTACCTAGGTTATCTTTGTTTCTAAGAAATGCAGCATGAAAATTATATACACATAGAGTTTGATTTAAAATAACCATTCCAATATTGAGACTATGTTGAAATATACCTAGATGTAATTACTGCTGTACACTGTTATTAAAATTCTCTGCTGAGAGACGGACAACTTCTGCAAATATTGTATACAAAAGTCAAATACTTTATAGAAATGGATTACTTCCACAAGGTATCTCATTCCTGATTTTCTATGTTTTTTTATGATCCAAAAATCTTTAAAATGATAACATAGGTGGAAATTGTGAGATTATTTTTGAAAATTTATTTTTCTTGTATATATTGAAAGTGTACAGCTTGATGTTACTTATACATACAAGCAAATTAACACATAATGATCTCTCTTTGTAATATGAACACCTAAAATACACTCTTATTAGCAAGTTTTCAATACATAATAAATGTTATTAACCATAGTCTTTCTGCTGAACAGTTAGATCTCCAGACTCTTTCATCCTACTTAACTGTAAGTCTGTGCTCTTTGACTACATTTCCCTTTTTTTCTCTCTCTCCCCAAGCCTGATAACCAACATTCTAAATTCTCTTTTCACGTATTTGAGTTTTTTTTAAATTCCCCATATGAATGAGATAATAAGTTATTTGTATTTCTGTGTCTGGCCTGTTTTATCTAACATATATGAAGTCCTCCAGGTTCATCTATGTTGTAGCAAATGAAACCGAATAGTATTCATATGCAATCACAATTTCTTTATCCATTCATCTCTTGATGAGGGCTTAGGTTAATTCCATATTTGGTGATTATGGGTAATACTGAAATGAGCATACAAGTGCAGACATCTCTGTGAGGTGCTGATTTTATCACCCTTGGATATATACCCAGCAGAAAGATTACTAGATTATATGGTAGTCTTATTTTTAATTTTTTTTAAGAGTTTCTATACTCTTTTCCATAATGGCTGTGCCAATTTACACTCCCACCAACAGTGTACAACATTTGCGTTTTTGCCACACTCTAGCCAACACGTGTTCTTTTCGGTCTTTTAGATAACCATTCCAACAGGTGTAAAGTAATATTATATCCCATTGTGATTTTGATTTTTCTGATGGTTAGTGATGTCATCACTAATCATTAGTGAGCACTTTTTGTGTATCTGTTGGCCACTTTTCTGTTTTCTTTGCTAATGTGTATATACAGGTCCTTTGCTCATTTTTTAAAAGAGCTACTAGGTTTTTTCCTTTGGGTGTTTTTGTTTTTTCTATTGAGTTTTGTAAGTGTTTTATATACTTTAGATATTAATCTCTTATCAACTACATGGCTAAAAAATATTTTTTCTTAATCTGTATGCTCCTTTTTAATTGAAAAGTAGAATTCTCACTTCTTGGACATAGTAGAAAGAAAAGTGCTTGAAGATTTGAGTCAAACATATTTGATTTAAAACCCAAATTTAGTCATGTTCAAGTTAAGGAATTTAGGCAAGCTACTTAAACTCTTGAGAATTCATCTATAAAACAGGGATAAAATAAAATTACAGAGTTATTGCTAGGAATTGCAGAGAACATAATTACAGAGTGACAATTGCAAGGCTGTGAACCTTAACAATAGAGAAATGTGGCAAATAACAAAAAATACACAATGCTAAAAACTGAACATCATGTGACTGTCTTGTGTAATGTACCAATAAGACCCAATACAACCATTTTGAATACATAAGATTATAGACTCTGAAAATTCTATTTATAAAGCTGTCTTACATTTATTTACTCTTTAGAGTTTTACATTACAGTGTGTACATATATTATAGCCCTTTATATTTCAGATTTATCTCCATGCCTCTAACCACATGTTAATTCTTGCGTTGGAAATATTTCCTAGGCATCTTACTACCTGTCTCATAATGCTTGCTGTACTTCACTTAAGGTTATAGACCATTAAAAACTACTATTTGTGTTGATTTGCAGTAGGGATAACTTTTGATTTTATCCTTAATGATATACATGTGTCATAGAATAAACAAAAAGTATCTTTGAATTTTATTGATTAATGTGATATTTTAATGTTTGTGCTCCATCGATTTTATGATTTGTATTAATAAAATATTACTTCTTGAAAATCTAGCAAGCACACATTTTTTGTCCATCTGTTATTAAGAAGAAAAATAGAGTAAATAAGAATCATATTAGCAGGAAAAATTAGTTTCCATATAAATTAGTATTTTAATCTCAGCAGAGAGTAGATGAAAAAGGAATGTTCAATGTTGATCAGTTACATTTCTACTAATATTATTTTCTGATGCCACTATAACCCAATTTGTGGCCATTGTAGACCAAAGATAAGATGTTAAAGTGGGCTATTTTAAACAAACACCTTATATAATTTAACGTAATAGTATTTTTCAACTATTTTGTCCAAGGCATGATGTTAGATAATGGTGATAAAAATATAAATAAGCAATAGTCGCTGACCTCAAGGACAGATTGCAAAAGACATTAATTTAAACAGATAGTGGTGATCTAATCAGATAAAGGTTGTTATGAAGGCACATATAAAATTATAAAACTGCATAAGAACACAGCCATTGGAATAATTAACCTGCTTTATCAAAGAGATTCAATAGTAATAAAGATAAATAATCCTTTAGGATAAAGAATTAACGTAGAATAGAAAAGTACATTAAGATAGAGTTATAATAAGAATTTAATTATATTCTATCCAGAAATGTTCCAAAAGAAATTTGAGAAAAACTGTACATTTCCACGTATCAGCTTTGAACTGAAGTTCTGGGCCTAAGTACATTATCAGTACCTAACCAAAGCAGATAATTTTGCCAAATTCCTAAGGGCAATAAATCCTAAGAGTCAGATAGTTAAAAACAGATTTTGTGAACTAACCTCAGCAGATCATAAAAATGACAGTAATGCTGAAAAATAACAACTTATAGATAACCCTTTCTGAGTCAGTAAACTTGTTCTTTTAATATATTTCTATCCTTGATCCATGTTCAGTTAATCAAATTAAAAAATTTTAAAAAATTTTGCATAGTCATTCTTTCTTGAGTGTTTTCTATTAATTAATTTGAATAATTTGCTTATCTTCACCCTTTTCTTTTTTGAGAGTGTTTACATTGAAAGAGTTCAAGAGATCTAGGAGTACTTTAAGAAATAAATAATTCAAAAAAAAGAACAGATTTATTAAAAAACAGAGTTTATGAAAACACTTGGAGAATGTTGCAAAAAATAAAAAAATTAAATTGTAATTCAAATTATTGAGGAATTTATCTTTTTACATGCAATTTTACTGCTTAATATCTTTTCCTTCAGTGGTTAAAATATGCAAACAGAAATAAATGCCTAAGACAGAAAATTAGTAAACTACCAACAACTAATACCTCTTGCTATATTATGATGGTCAGGCACAAGTGAAATTAAAAATATCACAATTTCCTCCTAATTAGATCTCCTGGACCTCACCTATTTCTCCTCTTCATGCTATTTGTGTTAACCAAATTTCATATATTCTTGGGTCTCCTATACATAGTTAATTGAGGGTGTAGATTCATCATTTTGGGTTTATGTCAATAAGTAATACCTCCGTTAATTTCCCAATTATGTGTTGAAATCATTGAGAATTTACTCAAAAGAGCAGTTGGATGATCAAAATATATTTATTGCTGTGTAAATAGTTTAAGAGAATGTGCCTTACATCTTTTTCAGGTGGACTTCCTGAGAATAAGGACCGGAATTAAAAAGAATCACTTCTCTCATCCCACATACCATCCTGAGACCCAGACAGCCTGCTAAGGAAACATCAGGTCCTCTGCTTGATGTGAGCCATTGAAAGCTGAAAAGATGGAACTGGAGAATACCTGCAGTTTGATTCCCAAACAGAAAAATGGGGAGGATGGGGTTGTATTTCATGTGCAATTTCTCCTTCCACATCCATGAATGAGAATAGATCATCCCTCCTCTGATGAGATGACTAAACAGGAGGACTGAGGTCAAAGAACATTGTAATACTAAAATTCTATCTATATGAAAACAAAAAATAGGATTAGAAAGAAGTGGTCCCCTGCTCAATAAGAATTGATAGTGGACTATAGACCTTGAGTTTGAGTAGGAAGACCCCATTTCTCCAATAAAAAAAATTGTCTTTGTGAGTTGATTAGCCTCATCAACTGGTGTGATTTGCTGTCTAGTTAATGAGGAAGGAATATGACTATTTCCTCCCAAGACACTCAAATGGGTGTTTCCTTCCTCCTCCTTTCATGGTGGAAACTCAGAGAATAAATCCCTGTTGTGACTGGGGAGAGGTGATCTCATTGCTGAATTCAAATGTTTTAGTCAGTTTAGTTAATTTATTTTTTTAAGAGGTGAGGCTTGCTTGTTGCCCAGGCTGAACTTGAACTCTTGGACGGAAGTAATCCTCTCACCTCAGTCCCCAGAGAAACTAGGACTACACTGCCACCAGGCTGGGCTAGATCAGAAGTAATTTTTTGTTTGTTTGTTTGTTTGTTTGTTTTTTCTCTACTGCCACATAATGGATTATCATAGACTTAATAACCTGACACCCATTTATTATCTCTCCATTCTTAGCTTAGAAATCTGAGCCAGCTCAATGGGTTCTCTGCTTATATCTGGCAGGCTAGATCAAGGTGTCAGCTAGACTGAACTATTATCTGGAGACTGAAGAATCTGCTTGTAGTTTATTCTGGTTATTGGCCAAATTCAGTTCCTAGAACTTGTGAAAGTGAGGGTGAAAGTGAGGTCTCTTGTTACTTGCTGGCTGGCAGCAGAGGCTGCTCAGCTGTAAAGCCGACGTGCATCACTTGCACATAACCCCTTCCAGCATCAGATACAGATAATGCTTCAAAGCTCTGCTTTCCTTTTCTACTGCCAGTAAGTGAAAACCCTCTGCTTTTAAGACTCTAGTATGATTAGATTAGGTCTACCTGGGTAATCCAGGTTACACTCCCTAGTTTAAGAGGAACTGATTAGTAATCCTAATAACATTGTCAAGATTCCTTTGCTGTGAAACACTGCACATTAGGGGGCATGATATCTCACTGTTGTTTTCAAAGTCCCCTGAATTAGGGTGGAAAATCTTGGGGACCTGTACATTTTTAGAATCTTGCCTACCAGAAAAAAATGTTAATCACTTCTCCTGTGTTCAGTCCTATCCATTTCCCCTGCCTACATGTTGATTTCTGCCTTCAGTGGAACTTGCGTACCTCTGGTTTCTGAAATACCAACTTGTTCTTCATTAGCAGCTTCATCTGCAGAGAAGTGTTCTCTTTCTCAGCTCTGCTACATCAGTTACCATGCTCTCACTTGCTTTTCACTCCAGAACATTAAGGACATCGCTGTGTTTGTTGCCTGATTGTCTATTCTCTGTTCTTTTATCTATTCCTGTAATATATTTTACTTGTTTTCTAAATGTATCAGAGATAAATGTGTCATTCAATCCACCGTATTTAAACAGATGTCCAGATTATTCCCTGCAGGTTGTACTGTGTGGTGATTAGGCAGAACAAATAAACAGTTAACGCAATTGACGATGTAGTACACATAAAGTCAGATAAATTTGGTCTTTTTGGAGTTAGCTTCTGCAAGTGTCGCTTTCAAAGAAATGCAAGTCTGCTGAGAATCTTGAGAAATTTTAGAGAGAGAGCGAGAGAAATGCAGGAGGGAGGAAGGAAGGGTAAAAAAAGAAAAAAAGAGTGGAAAGAAACGAGGAACACTAGATGTCTCATTGTCATCCCACATTTCACATTCCTGTGCACAACTTACTCCTACATTTCATCTTATATGTGAGATTTTCTGAAATCAGAAAATCCTGGACATTGAATCAACCCCAACTTTATGTTCTATTTACAATATGGGTTGAGACATTCTCAGGATGAGCTAAATTTTACAGTTTTCTTTCTTTTTCAAAATTCTAGAACAAATTATAGACTATAACTCTTATCTTACCTTTCTGTAAAATTAATTAATTTATTTGTATAAACCACATTTACAGAGCTCTTGAAGTGCCTGAATACTATTTTATTATAGGTGCTGGAGATTTTAGAGTAATTATGGTAATGATAACACTAATAACAGAAAAACAATAATTAAGGGAACCATTGCTAGGTATCAAGCATGGTGCTAAGCATTTCATATGCATCATGAAAGGGCTTGAAGTTTCATATGTTGTTCCTAATTGATGAAACAGAGGTTTAATAAATTCATCAATTGGCTAAAGGCCATAAATCTAGGGTTAGATTTGAGCCCCTGACTTAGGTCTATCACAAAAGTCTATGTTCCTGGTTAAAATAGTAGGCTGAATCATGTTAAACCAAGAGAATGCATTATGAGTTTGAGGCAAAAGACTTAGACTTCAACATAAGTATGTAACAGGGGAATACCCAGAAGCTTAGAGGTCAAGAAAAAATTGATATAACTTCTCAATTATTTTCATAATGATATGATTTATCTGAATTGCATTACTTTCTAAGGTAAGTCCTAACATTTTTGAAAAATTAGTATGTTTTCATAATGAATAATAAAAATAAGTAAGGTAGATTTGAGAAATATGAAGCATTTTAGCCAAGAAAAGGCCTGTGTGGTTACATTAGGAAGCACTGGGTAATAAAAAAGCACCATGAAGGCACTGCAGTGCCAGAGGCATAAAAGGTTGGGACAAGGGCAAATAAATAATGTTGGGTTCCAACAAAGACAAATCTCTTGTAGTATATACTGTCTGTATTCTCTCAATCATCCATTCCCTCATTCTTACTTGCTAACAGAACCATATATTTGAAAAGATCAGTTTCAGGGAAAACTATGAATTATTTAAACCAAACAACCTCTTCGCCTCACTAGTGACTGATTTTGCCATATTAGCCAAATCTTGATCTCACAAGAAACCAGGTTTAGTGGTGGAGGAGCTACTGGGAGAGGTCTCCTTCCTCTAAAAGAGACATATTCAAAAAGGATCCGTCTGTACCTAGGATTATATTGAACGCTTAAGGATGTCAGCTAACCTAAAAATGAAGATCCATACAATAACAAAACAGAGGGAAGGTAATAATTCCCATCCTTAAGACTATCAACTGATATAACCATCTCTATAGTTATCTTTCTTACTTATTGTATTGTGAAATACATTTTCTTAGTGCAAGCTAGTTTGTAATAGCATTAGCTGAACTTGTAGCCAACTATCCTACATGTTACATATCTCATATTGATATTTGTGGTTTTTCTAACTAGGCTCTGTGTAACTCACAACCTTAAAATACCAAGATGAACTGTATTTCAAACTCTAGTGCAATAACTGACCTGATTTCTCTATATTTGCTACAAAATAAACCAAGAAACAAAGATGGAATGAGTGAGGGGATGAGCTAGCTTGAGTAAGCTAACTCGGCCATAACAACTTGGAATTTATGCTTAGAATTTAGATATATCTGGAATTAGCTGTTTACAGCACATGGATATGCATAAGGGATTTATGATCTACACTTTACTGATTAATATAACTTGTCTTTAAAGTTTCAGGGATTTTTTTCCTTTTCAAATTGGTTTAAAGCAAATCAAAGAACTGAGGACTAACCCCCATAATTACTTATCAATAGAAAGTAAAGGAGAAAATGAAAAAACGTTTAAATTCTTCTCCCTTAGTCCCCATGCCCTTTGTTGTCTGTTTCATTGATGTGTTCCATGTTTTCTTTGACTGATAAGGAACTTATTAGATGTTCTACTTTCATGTAATCAAAATAAAATATGAGAGGAATCAAAACTCTTCAGTTCAAAACTGATGTTTTATTCCCTTGATTCCAGTTAAGCAAAGTATAATCTAATGCTCTGTCAACAGATAGACAACCATAAATTTTCAATCAGATTATGCATTCATTCATGCAACAGGTATTTATTAAATATATCTTTCTAGTTCAGGCATTCTCATAAGTGGTATTAAAGTAAAAAGAGAGTGAGAGAGAGAGAAAGAGAACTGTCCCTAACCTCCTCACATTTATATTTTAGAGGTGAACTTTTTTTAGAGTAAATATTTCAAGGAAGTATCTATGCAGAAAAGTAAAGCAGAGAAATGTTATAGCCAAAGCCAGTTATATGAGTGGATATCTGGTATTGGAGAATGACATTTTATACATGATAATGGGAGAAGACCTCACTATAAAGAAAATATTGAGCAGACACCTACATGAAGGGAGCATGCCAGTCATATAATTACCTGTTTAAAGTATATTGCAAGCAGAGAGGAAAGAAAATGCAAAAATATGGAAACTGATATGGGAACTTGTTTGAAACTTTTAAAAGAGACCGCTATGGCTGGCGAAGAGTGACACATCAAGAAAGAGGATGAAATCAGAGATGTATTAGAGGACCAGGTATTGTGGGGCATTGTAGGCAATTCACTTCAAAGATGTTTTTATTCAGAGTGAGATGAGAAGTCTATGGAAGGTCTTGCAAAGGGTGTGACATATTTTCAAATGAAATTTCTGTATGTAATTTTTTCAAGATCATTATTTTTTGCAAGGAGCTGCCGTATGCATAATAGGATGTTTAACAGCATCTCTGGCCTGTACCCGCTAGCTTTTCCCTAATTTTGACAACAAAAGATACTTCCAGACATTACCAAGTATCCCCCATTAAGGGGTAAAATATCCCCTAGTTAATAACCGATGTTTTAACAGGATTACATTTTTAGAAACTCTCTAATGATCTGAGAAACATGAAGGCAATTTGGTAAAGGCTCTTGCTAATAAACAAAAAACACAACATGGGAGAGTGGAATCATCATAGTAATAAATATAGTGAGATGTGGCTCGATTCTGGGTAGATTTTAAAGTTACAGCCTACAGTAGTTGCTGATGTGCAATAAAAGAGAAAGAAAGGAACAACAATTATTACACATTTTTGTCTTAGTACCTATAAAATTAGAGTTGCTGTTTATTAAGGTGGGGAAGGCACAACCAAAGCAGTTTGGGGTTTGACACGATATCGATCAGGACATGTGTTCTGGACCTAACAAGCTTAGTATATCTGTTGAACCTCCAAGTAGTGATGCCCAGTAGGGCTTTGGGAAAATTAATGTAGAGTTGAGGAGAGATATCTTGATTGGAGTTATACACTTGGGCGCCATCACTGTAGACACTAAACCTTGTAACTGGGTGAGATGAATCATGCAATGAGTATGACTAATACTGAACCTAGTCAAATGGTAGGCAGTTAGGGAGGTATTGAGAAAGCAAAGAAGACTGAAAAAAAAATTGGGAAGATAAGGGTGAAAAAAAAATTGGGAAGGTAAGAGTGAACCCATTGCAAGTAATGTTAGGAAACATGTAATGAAGCCATGAAAATATAGTTTATAGAAGAAGGAAGAGGCAGAAAATTTCTTAAAGAACATGTGAATTTGGTTGCTTTGTTGGAGGGTTAGTGTGATGCTCACATATTACAGTGTGCTCCAAACAGACTAAAAAGTGAGGAAATAACACATAATTTATGGACAATTCATTTAAAAAGGTCTGCCATAAAAGAGAAGAGGTGGGTTACTGTGGAGAGAAGTAGAATTAAGAAAATCATCTGTGTGTTGGTGTGTGATTTTTGTCTGTTTGTTTGTTTTTTCAAAACTAGGAGGCATTGGAATAGGCTTGCATGCTGAAGGGAATGATTCATTTGAAGGGAGAAACCAGTGCAGACTGAAGGAGAGCAATTGCTGAAGCAATATACATGAGTAAGCTGGAAAGGATGCAATCTAATGCAGTGGAGAAGAGTTAGATTCCACTGAAGAGTTCATCTGTGATAAGAGGAGCGAGAACTAAGCATGTGCTTAGCAATAAAGGTAAGTTGGTGTGGAGATTGGAGCACATGAAAGCTCTCTTCTGATTACTTGCATTTTCTTGAGATTGAGAGTAAGGTCTTCAGCTGAGAGACATGTTAGAAAAAAAGCTGGTTGCAGTTTAAGGTGAAAAATGATGTGAAATAGTCATTTAAAGACTAGGGGATTGTTCTAAAAATAGAGAATAGGCTTCTTGAGACCAATCAGGACTAAGTTTCTGGTTTTGATATGACCATATGAATGTGTGTAAATATATTATTTAATATAAAATATGTTTAGCAAGTATTTTTATATTTAATCTATATGTTATTTGTATTTTTAATTAATCTCCCTGCACATTCATCCATACCTGTTTATAAATGTTTAGATGATCCTCAAATATAGCTCAGTTAGAACCTTTATTATATTAGTCCTAGGCCTAAATATACTTTAATCTGAAAAAATATGAATATCACTTGAGATAATTAATGAGATCACAAAATCTACATGCAAAATACATCTTGAAAGTAAGATGGCTTATAGAAGAAAGGATTATAAAATACGATAAAATTTAGTCATACATTATATAAGCCTCTATCAATCTTCTACGACGCTGTGTCCTAAAGGCATAAGCAAGTCATTCAATAACATAAAATAGGTTATTTATCTCATCAAAAGAGCTCTAACTAGATTTTTTAAAGGTATGAATAACTTTTTTGGGGGATTAGTTAAATTAATTAATGGAGGGTTTTTATAAGAAGAGCTTCATTTGGTAGGTGACATTTCTTCTGGACCTTAAAGAATGAATAGAGTAAGAGTCACAGACATAAGACACTGGAAAGACATTTTGTAGGGAGGGTGTGAGGGAAGAACAATTGATTCTAGTTAAAATCACTTCCAAGGGAGGACAAATAAACAGAACTATAACTACTATAGAGTTTATATTTAAGACATTTCTGAGGTATGTGGAAGTTGCCTTTAGACTATGAGCGGCTGACCTTGTTCAAGGTAACCTGGCCAGGAAGAATTCCATAAGCTTTCTACCTTAGAAAGTTAATTGCATGGAGGATGGACTGAAACGTGGATGACTGGGTACGAGAAGGTCAGTTGGCTGATTCATGCAGTCTGATAGTTCCTGAGGAGTGACTGACTCAGTGAGGTTGGTAAAAAAGCAACCAGTTTAAAGGAAACATTTAAAGACTTTGGTCACCCGCTGAATGGGGAGGAGGCAGTGGTAAGTGAGAGAAAGGATCAGTTATATCTCAATAGTTGTCCTTTGAAACTTCTGTCTTATGACTCTCAGTGAACTAGAATTAGAAGATTTAATTAACATATTCAAATAACTCATTCACATGTGAATGTGATTAATAAAATAAATGTTTTGATAAAAATGAAGATACTTTCTCTCTACTTATCTCAAAGCAGATAAAACCTAGATAAAAATTTTTGACCTCCTTAATTAATATGTTTAATCAGATTTTTAAGGATTTTCTCATAGTTGCTTGTGAAATGGAGTTGGTTTTGGTTGATCATTGGAGAAAAAAAAAGGTCTGCATTTCTTTCGTTCCGTATGATTCTATGATTTATACTTTTACGTGAATACACTGATGCTTCTTTATTTCTAGTTCCTACAGTGCCATAGACTTCAGAAAGCAGCAGTTAATAACATAAAAGCCTAGAGCATACAAATTTTTTTTTCATTAGCTCTGCAGTTGAGATAGCCAAACTTTCAAAGTAGTAAATCCCTTATCTTTAAAGGGTAAGAGGCTGATCAGGCAGTTCATATACTACATCCAAGGGCAGCAAATTAAACAGCCTCTGAAAATTAAAAAGCACTTTACAATGAACATTCTTATCACAAAGCAAACCATAATAAATAACAGGTCATCTCTTTTCTATTGTAAAGAACTATACATAGTAATTGGGTAAAATTAATTTTGATGAGACTCTTGACTTTCTTTTCCCTGATGAAATTGGTCTAAATTAACAAGATCTGTAAACTGTTAAATTTTTTAAACCACTGGACTAAAATCATCAGATTATTAATTCTATTTATATCCTCAGTTGTAGCTATTTTTTTTAAACACTAAAAATAGTAATGCTGCCAGAAATAAGTATGCTGTATGCTGCTGAGGATTTATCTCCTTATAGATTTGCATTTAAACAGTCAGACGTCCACATTTTTCACGTTCCTGAATATAAAACTAAGCTAAACAATTGACTTAATTATAATCAAGATATTCTGACACATTTACCACAAAGAATCCTTTCACATTAATAATAAAAGAAAAGAAATACTTTTGTATGGAACATTCATTTGTGATTTGCAATTTCTTCATATTTTACAGTCATTGTTTAAAATGTGCTAGTGCATGAAATATAATACTTTTAAAAACCAATATAAAATAGAATGGGCTTAGAAGAAAACAGGAGTTTCCCAAAGAGCAAAATTGCTCTTTGAAAAATAGATTAATTCATTAAAAACTTGTCTTTCTGAACACCAAAAATGAACAAACAAAAACCAAGAGAATGGTCAAAACTCCACAGAAAATAAATGATGCTGATTTTGATTAATTTATTTTATGGCCTTTGCAGGTTTACTATTACAAACTGGAAATTATGCATGCATGCATAACTATACTTATACACTGATAATTATGTGAGTATACCTGTAAACCTTCTATAATTTTTATTTTAAACAAATATTTTTTCATCTATTTTTCATGAAGGGTCACAATTGGATTTTTGATGCCAAAACACAGCCATTGAGTTTAGAAAGGAGCCCATATTCTCTTGGACCTTGAATTATTTTTTCCTACTTGAGAAGTAATTTTCAACATTAACGTATGTTGCTATGAACTGATCAGAAGTGTTTAGTCACAGAAATCAGCACAAAAATGCTTTAAACAGCACCAAAAATGCCTCAAAAGGCTTTTGCTACTAAATGAAATGTTAATCATGGAGTAGTGTATTGAGATGGCTTTGTAATATACAGGCATGTATCATCTGATTGTGCTTTGCTTTAGTGTGCTCCACTTTTTTAGCACTTTGCATATACTGTGCTTTTTTACAAATTGAAGGTTTGTGGCAACCCTAGGTTCAGCAAGTCTTTTGGCAATGGTTTTCCAATAGCATGTGCTTATGTCATATTTGCGTGTTAAATTTTAATCAGTCTGGCAACATTTTAACCTTTTCCATTATTATTATATCTGTTATGATAATCTGTAATAAGTGATCTTTGATGTTACTACAGTTATTGTTTTGGCATTCCATGAACCATGACCATGTAAGACAGCAAACTTAATTGATAAATTGTTGGTGTTCTGACTGCTCCACCAACTAACAGCTCCCACATCTCTCTCCTTACCCTCAGGCCTCTCTATTTCTTAAGACACAATAATATTAACATTAGACTAATTGATAACTCCACAATAATCCCTAAGTGTTCAAGCAAAAGGAAGAGTGGCACATTTCTCATAATCTCATTTGAAGTAGTTTGAACTTTCAAGTCTCTTTATTTAAAAAATACATTTTGTAAGGTGATAGTTCCCATAGTGATTCCTCTAATGGATGAGGGCAAAGTTAATTGAAATCCTTCCGTTCTATGATTTATACTTCAATAAGAAAGGATTCACCATTGTAGAGGCTATTAAAAACATTTGTGATTCATGGGAGGAAATCAAATATCAACATTTGCAACAATTTGGAAGAAGTTGATTGCTACCCTTATAGATAACTTTGAGAATTTCAGGACTTCAGTAGAGGAAGTATCTGCAGATGTGGTGGAAACAATGAGAGAACTAGAATTAAAAACGGAGTCTAAACGTGTGACTGAATTGCTACAGTCTCATGATAAAACTTGAACAGATGAGGAGTTGATTCTTATGAATAAGCAAAGAAAATGGTTTCATAATACGGATTCTACTCCTGATGATGATTATATGATCATTGTTGAAAGGACTACAAAGAATTTAGAATATTACATAAACTTAGTTGATAAGGCATTGACAGAGTTTGAACAGACTGACTCAAATTTTGAAAGAGTGTCTAATGCAAGTAAAATGTTATCAAAGAGCTCTGCATTCTTTAGAGAAATCTTTTATGAAAGGAGGAGTCTGTTGACATGGCAAACTTCATTGTTGTCTTATTTTTAGAAATTGCCATAGCCACTCCAACCTTCAGCAATCACCACCCCAACTAGATAGCAGCCATTATCATCAAGGCAAGGCCCTCCACCAGCAAAGATTACAACTCACTGAAGGCTCGGGTGATTGTTAGTATTCTTGAGCAATAAAGTCCTTTTTGATTAAAGTGTGTACATTTTTTAGACATAATGCTATTGTATACTTAATAGACTATAGTATAGTGTAAAGATAACTTTTATATACGATAGGAAACCAAATATTTGTGTGACTCACATTATTGTGATATTTATTGTATTGGTCTAAAACTGGTATCACAATATCTATGGAAAATGCCTGTAATATACAGTAGCTATGCATTGTGACCTTGAGTGCATATGTGGGCATAAATGTGATTTTTTAAAGCAGTGAAGTATGAAAGCAATGCACGTGAGTTAGAAACCTCACTCTAACCTATGTTCTACTGCTTTTATTTTTTAATGGCTGAATTCCTTGTCCTTATGAAATTTCTAAAGTAAAGATAACATAGTGAAGTAAATTGGGTAGAACTTAGGCACTCTCAGGTTTTCTTAGCGCTTAACAATCCCATGAAACTCCAAATATGAAATCTGGCAACTTGGGACTCTGGAACGAAAGCGTATTTCCAAGTTATATTTGTGGCAGGACCACTTAATAAAATATTAAATTATTATTTGCCTTTCCTTGTTTTTTTCTTCCTGAGGTTACATATATTTGAGATTTGTAATTCTTTGTCCTCCAAGAGTTTGGAGAACCTTCAATTAAACGAACATTTTGTTTTCATAAATGTCCAATGCAGAGAGGGAAGAATACAGGCTGTTCTGGAGCGACTGAAAGGAAGCAGAGAATGTGGGGGAAGTAACT